AAAAACTATTCAATAACGCTAATTATTAAACCAATTAAATTATTAAACCATAGAGAAAATCAAAATTTGTTGTAAACAATCATTTTAATTATGTTAAAATACTCTTTAAAACTATACACGTATTTAAGCATTATAATGTCCTTTTCAATTGTTTAGCAACTTTACAAATCTTTCATCTTTACTTCGCTTGAGAGCAACAATAATTTTTTAATGCTCGTCATTATACATTTTGATAGAAATCTTTGAGCTTGCATCTTTTATCTGATGAGCACTGCCATAACTACTGTTAAAGAAATAAGTATTAGTATCTGATAAGAACTGCCATAACTACTGTTAAAAAAATAATTATTATATATATATATATATATATATATATATATATATATATATATATATATATATACATATATGTATATATAAATATATATATATACATAAATATATATATATATATATACATATATATATGTATATATATATATATATATATATATATACATATATATATATATATATATATATATATATATATATATATATATATATACATATATATATATAGATATATATATATATATATATATATAAATGCATCTTTAAACATATTTTATATAAACATGCTATAGTATAGTATATTTAAGTAGTAATATAATATATTATAATAATATTTAATAGTAATATTACTACATAAATATACTATACTTTAGTATATTTATATAAAATTTGTATAAAGATGCATATATTATATTGTATAAAGATGCAACTATATATATTATATAGTACTAGTACTATATATAATATTTAGTTGTATATATATGTATATGGTATACTATAACATAGTATACTATATACATATATACAACTATATATTATAAAAAAAATATATTGTGCCATGTTATATAAAATTTGTATTTGTATGTATATAGACTATATACATACATATACAAATTTTATATAATATGGTATACAAATTTTATATAACATGGCACAATATATTTTTTTTATTAAAACATATTTTTTTAATTTTTTTTTTTTTTGTAATGATCTGATATTAATTTCTATAATATAATTATAAAATCATGAATTTAAGAATTCCAACAAAAAAAATATTCTAATAAAAAGTCGCCTAAAAAAAGCTCTAAAAAATGGCCGAAAAATATTTTAACGCTAAAACCTGTAACACACTGTACGCATTTAAAAATCAAAATAATGAGTCGAATTTCGACGTTGGCCCGACGTCAGCACATAGTTATTAAAATTGTCCAACGCTTTCGACGTTGGCCCAACGTATGTGTGCTAGCTGGGGTAGGATACGGATTCAACTAGGACAGTCTTATATGATGGCAAAGTAGAAAAGCTAAAAAAAAAAACACAGCAACATCTTGTACACTATTTCATACTGGGCGACTAAAGATGAAACTGACTCTGAAGCTGTTGACTATTGCATGAAAAAATTCCAGCTGGTTGCTGATGTCATATCAGGTGAATTAATGTTTTCCTAATTTGAATATGTTGCCATAAATGATAATACTTATGCAATAGCAAAGTAGGCACTTAAAGTGTGGTTTCATTTGGGTCATATCATTTTTATAATTAAAAGGAACTTGCAAAAATAATGTGCCGCAAGTAGTGGAACTTGCAAAGAGGTACAGCAAGTTGTGGAACTTGCAAAAATATTGTGCTGCAAGTAGTGGAACTTGCAAAAAGGTACAGCAAGTACTCTTAAGTGCTAAATACAAGCCTTTAATTATTATAACAAGAATTTAATATCAGATCATTACAAAAAAAAAATTAAAAAAATATGTTTTAATAAAAAAAATATATTGTGCCATGTTATATAAAATTTGTATACCATATTATATAAAATTTGTATATGTATGTATATAGTCTATATACATACAAATACAAATTTTATATAACATGGCACAATATATTTTTTTAGTTCATTATAGAAATATTTCTTATCTATACAGAGCTCATAAGGACCTCACACTTATTAATTTTACAATATCAAAACTAAGAAAAAAACACAGTAATAAAAAAATAATAAATAATAGAAATGTAATTTTTCAATGTATACAGGCTATAAAAAATATCAACTTATAAACTTATAAATGCTTCATTTTATTATATTTTGGAAAAAGATTTACACCCTACTTGTATGAAGCACCTGAGAGTAGTGAAGCTTGCCAAAAGGTACAGCAAGTATTGGAACTTGCAAAAAAATGTACCTTGTAATTTTTTTGATAGACGGCTCTGGCTTACGTTCACGTCGTGTCTTTTGTTAATAATGATTATTATTTAGTTTCATTATTGGAATTCAGTATCTTAATCATTAACTAAAAGCCAAGACTTAAAATTAAAATATTCGCCAAGTGTTATGTTTTACAAAGAGAGGTCATCCGACCTATGTCTTCTGCAGGCCCTCTTTTAATGGCAAAGTTGCAAGTCTAAAAAAAATTGGCTGCCAAAAAGGTTAAGGGCCCCAGTTCTAAAAGTA